ACTCACAAAGATCCTCCTGCTTCTGCCTCTGCTGGGATTAAAGGCCTGTGCCACCATGCCTGGCATAAACCCATTCTTAATGTAAACATTTAACCAGTTGATTGATCCCTTACTGTTACAAAAGCAGATAGCTTATCACCCCTTATGAGGTTGACCTGGTCACCCTCAGCCTCTTAATATTTCATAAAAGGGATTAAATTTTAACAGTTTCAGAAAGGATAAACCATGGTCAAAAGAAAATATCCTTTAATGATACTGCTGAGCTTTATTTCCTCAACTGTTAAATCCATAGTCAGCAAAGGTAATGGCCTGTTTTCTTACAGTGTGCTTGTCCATCTTTAATACTAAGATAGTAATAGCCTCATAGTGTGAGTTGGGATTTTAAATTTTTTGAAGATCTTGGCCAATATTTCCTCAGCTAGGTGTAGCACTTCATGCCCAACTCCTCTCTCCATAGTGGGATTTTGTCTGTCTTGAGAGTGTGCTGTCATAACTTCTGTGAGTTCAGGCGTGCAGCCACACAGAAATCACTTTTCTTCTAGTCACCCACTGTCTCTGGCTCATGATCTTCCTGCCCCTTCTTCTAAAGGCTCTCTGAACTTTGGGAAGCGGGGTGAGATATAGATGCCCCATTAGGACTGAGCATTGCACAGTACCTTATTCTGCAAATGGTGACCTGTTGTGAGTCTCTGTTTTAATCACCATCAATAAGTCATTGAGTTAGTTTAAATTTTATTTTTACTTCATGTGTATAAATATTTTGTTTACATGTATGTAAGTGTACTCACATGTGATGTATACCGTGACAAAAGAAGGGTGCATCAGATATCCTAGAACTGGAGTTATGAATGATTCGTATGGATCGTGGTAACCAAGCTGGAGTCCTCTGTCAAACAGGAATGCTAATGTTTTCTTGATGTATTGATCCTTTGTCAAGTTTGTTTTGTTTGATATTAGAACAGTCAGTACTCTCCTTTTTGGTTACTATTTTCATGGCATATATTCTTATAAATTTATTTAGTCTAATGCATTTCTAGTAGATCTAGATGGGTTACCATATATATAGTATAAGTTTGGATATTTGAAAAAGAAGTAGCTGCCTTTGATGAGTTTTGCAGATGAAACTGTACAGGGGATGAGCTTCTTACTTGGAGCATTTTAATTTCTAAGCATGTGTGGTTCAAAATCTCTGTGTTCTTTTTCCCTTAAGTCCCTTGCATTTGCAACTGCTCCTAACTGTCCTCTATCTCTGGAAGTCTCACCCCTCCTTTTTGATTTCACAAACATTGATGTTCTGTTATTTTCCTATAATCTCATACCTCCTGGAGCACATTGGTCTTGAATGTATGTGCTTTCTGTCTACCTTCAACTACTTCCTGTGTCCTCCAGCCTGATAATCAAACTAGAATACATTTTTTATAGCTCTCTGAGTTAAAAAAAAAGGCACAAATCATTGCTTCTATCAAGCACCAGATAAAGTAGAACACTAGACACAAGTTTCCTTCTTTTGTAATTGAGAAACCAGGAATTTATTGCTTTTTCTCCTGACTGTACTGTTACCAGGTAAGGGATAGAGCTGTCAAGCAAAATTCCCCAAACTTTTCCACAATATTGATTATATCTGTTTTCTTATTTGGAAATTCGATTGCTTAATGCAAATGCTTAGTTTTTCTACAGTTCCCAGGAAATCGCTGTGTTTAATATGTTGGTTATACTGTTTCCCTAGCCCACTGTCCTTCTGTTGTCACTCTTCTGCCACAGGTTTCCTGTAGCTAATTTACTCCCTCTCCCACTCATACGTTCCAGTGAAGCTCTCCCAGACTTCTTTAATTATGTTAATAAGTGATGGCACAAATTTAGTGATAATTTATCTAAGCAAGCCATGTTGCTTTTAATTTTTTTATTGATTTATTTTTATTTTATTTGCATGAACGTTATGCCTGCATGTATTTAAGTACACCCATGTTGTGCAGTGCCTGCAGAGGACAGAAGAGAGCATGGGATTTCCTTGGGACAGTTAAGGATTTCATAGTTATTAGCTGCCATGTGGGTGCTGGGATTTGAACCCAGGTCTTCTGTAAGAGCAGACAATGCTTTTAATTGCTGAGCCATCTCTGGAGCTCCTAACCATGGTACATTTAAGGGTTATATTGCTTAGGAATTCTGCTGAACATACCTTGAAAACTCATGTCTAAAAGGTGGTCTACAGACAATAGATGCTCAAAAATTAGTGATATCATACATCATAGTGATAGTCTATTTCACCATTGGCTAAACCACGACCAATTTGTTATAGTGTTGGCTTCTAAAAATGAAATGGTCTTCATATTCTTCAACACCTCATGGCAAAAAAAGCTCATAAAATGTCTTAGGTAAACTGCTTCTTCTGGGTCCTTAAGTCCATATAATGATTTTGTATTTTGAATCTTGGAAGTCCTAGAAAAATGAATCAAAGGAAACATTTTGTTTTCTCCCACCAGAAATATCCATCCTTTGGAACCTAATTCTTTGGGAAATATTTTTTTTCAGGCAAGGTTGGGTGAGAGATTATCTTTTCTGTGTCTTCTCAAACAGATCGATATACATACCATAGTGTGTCTTAATATATTGCATTCCAGATACTCAGCCTGTTGACACTTAAATCTCTCTGGAGTGAATTTTTTATACAATGATGATTTTGTTGCTCTATATCTAGTTACCCAAGAAGTTATTGCCTGTCATGATGCATCTTCTGATCAGTATCTTCCAGCATCACCTCCCTATATTTACATTTGTACCAAAATGGTTTAGCCTCATTCTGTGTTGTCATATTTATTTCCCTTGGTCCCATGTTTTCTGTGACTGTTCTTGTTTTTCTTCCCTTACTTTTTGCAATTTCCAGTCATTTTTCTTATGAAATTAATTGATTTATACTTGTCATTCGCCAAAAATATAGTTACAGAGGCTGGAGACATTGCTTGATGACCTTTCAGAGACCCTGTGAACTAACTACAGGAATCTGTGACAAAAGAGTGACACCAGAAGGAAAGTATTCCTGGCACCCACATTGGGCAGCTCATAACTGTCTGTAATTACAGTTCCAGAGTATCTGATGATCTTTCTCCACAGGCACCTGCACTCATGTACACATACCCACACATAGACACAAACTAAAGATAATAAATCTTTGAAATTACTAATAATTTAGTTATTCCTAAATCCTACTTTGTTGATTAGTCTTCTATATAACACTAGTCTCAATAGCTTCTGACTCTGTAGTCTGACCCAGCGGTTCTTTTGCTGCCTTATTTATCTCATACTCTGGTGTAGTTCTCTGGCATATTCTCAGTTAGACTGCAGGTCTTGAGAATAGGAAACTCAGCAGCTATCTGATTGCTGTAGCAACTCTCAGCAAAGTATCTTTAGGTAATTTTCTTCCTGTGTAGTGTTCTTGATCACAAGAGCAACCATGGAAAGGGCAGGAAATCAAGGATGGAGCAAATTTGGCATTTACTTCTAGAAAAAAAACTGGACTGATTTTCAGAAAGCATACACATACATGTTGCTTATAAATACTGAAATATTTAAGTAAAATTTTATAGGTCAAAGTCAAGGACATGCTCCACATGTATCCTCTGATATCTGCTGCTTGTATTTCAAGAATTTCCAGCAAGCTTTTGAATTTTATGAGTTTCTTTTATGAGCTTCTTGTTGGGGGCCTCTGTTATGTGAAGTAGAAGTCTCTTCATATCCGGATAGCTCAGGAAGCTCGGAGTTATGTGCTGAGACTCATTTCATAGTGGGGTGCCTTCCTGGCATTTTTCCTGACTCTCCTTCTGAAGTGCCCGCCACAAATGCCATAACATAAACATGGCCTCTGGCTCTAGGAATACCATGCTTTCCTGTGTGATTTTTCAGGTAGTCAGCAGTCTGGCAGCATGGTAGAAATCCACTTCCATATGCAAATTGAATGTCTCACAAAGTATCTATCAGCCAAAGCTTTTACCACTACCCCCATGGTATAAATATCCCAGTCTTTCTCTCAATATCAGAGAGCTGGGTCGCAGAGAGCTGGATCACTTGAAGCTACACTTAATAAAAGCTGTGACACGGGCTAAGCCAAGTCTTGAGTCTTGTGTCTTACTACCAGCGACCCAGCCTCTCCGGGGGGAGCATTCCTCCGTCACCGACTTGCAGACACCCTAGCTTTCGCTGTCCTCGTACTCTTCCCGTGTGGTTCAGTGGCCAGTGGACCTCGCATCCTGAGGAAAGTACACGGGTGAAATAAGGACGGGACCGGCTGAGTAGACCTCAGCAGCAGAGGGACTTTTCAGCACCAAAAAGCGATGGACAGAGACCCACCCGCTGCCGTGGCCAGCGTCGCATCCAGGAGACACGAGCCGCGGTGCCACAGGACACGGCCCGCTGGAGAAGCCTGCGGGACGTGGCCAGGCCCTCCATGCTGCTTCCAGGGCGCGCAGAGAGCCCAGCACACACTATAGCTTCTGAAGAATACTTACCTCATCTTCCCCTTTAAACACCAGAGTAACATAGGAAATCTAGAGAGCTAGTTCTGCTAATTTTGTTTCACTTGGGTATTTGAGTAGCATTATGTCAACCCTTTTTGCATAATTGTTAACACCAGGTTGATAGTCCTTTATTTCCTTTCTTTAAGCCCTTACTATCCATACTTCTTTCCATCCTGTAGAGAAGGCAGGTGAAGTGTGAAGTGATGGATTTTTGTTGTTCTTGTTTTAAATAAGTGGTTGTTTTGGAACTATTTTGAAATTACTGACCTTAACTTTAAAATAAATACTGCCCCCCCCCCCAAATTAGCTAAGGGCGAACCATGGTCCAGAAAATTGAACTACAAGAATTTCTCATTTTAGATTCCATTGAAAGGGAATCAAAACAAATGATAAAACAAACCATAAATTAAAATTTTGGGCCCTAAAAAAGGACTGAGAAACTGCATATAATTAATTAAGTTCTGATTTATAAAAAAAATAGAATTTTAAAATAATTTTCAAGAAGATTCTGTGATCTTTTATTAAACATACACTTAGAGAAAGAACACATTGTTCAGGGATTAAGATTAAATATGTTTATTTTGTGTTAGTGAATACAATGGTAAATTAGATTACTGGCACTCCAAGCTACACACCTATTTGCCGCTAAGCCTTCACACACTTCAGTCTCCGTTCCTCTAACGTTCCACCACTGGGCCTTCTATTTCTAGCAAAATCAGAGTTCAAGTTTAAAAAGAAAGGAAGGGTTGGAAGGAAGAAAGGTTGATCTCCACATCGTGCTGCAAGTGCCTGCAGGATTTAGTTGTCTCAGATGATAACCATTTTCAGTGAAGGGGAAAAATGAAAACATGAACACTACCAATGGCACTACCGGAATATAAAGAACAGAATGCTGATTAAAAGAACCATATTAGATGGGATTAGTTAGATTCCTCAGTTAACAATCCATATAATATCATGGATGGATGTCAACATTGAATTGTTCAATTTGTGGGCCACACACGTAAGCGGGTAGTACATTTTTGCACTGAAACAGAAGCAATACAAATTTTATGTTCTACCGTACACTTCCAGGTTTTTCACTTATGAATATACCTGCCAACCTAATGATTCTTGCATGCATTAGAGTTTGCTTTTGTAAAGTTAGTTTATTTTTCCCATCCCTCCCACTCCCATACATTGCAATGCGAACTCTTTGCCCAACTTTAAGAGAATGTTGCAAAGAACAGCTCTGTGCCACCTCAGGACAGGAATGACCCGTCCCCTCCCCAGGTTACAGATGGATCTTATTGACCTCATCTCATCTTACATGCAAACAGACACTGTTTCCTTAATTTCCCCATGCCAGAGGCATACAAGTCGGCAGGTATGCATACAAATATGGATTTAAAATGAAAAAGAAAGAAAAACAGAAAAAAAGATTTTGCATTTTTAAATCCTATTGTCCTAGAAGGAATCCATTGCTTTGAATTCACTTAAAGCCTGCACTGGTGAAATGTGTTTCTTTTGAGAACCTCTTCGAACTCGCGTCTGGAATTCTTCAGGCTTTTCTCTCTTCACAAGGGGCTTCTTTTCTGGAGCCTTCATCTTCCAAGACACAACTGGAGAGTTGACAGCTGCTGTACCATAGACCTTCTGGTATTTGGTTGAGGCTACATAAGATGCTTTCACTGTGAGGACAACAGCATTCATCAGGTTCTTGGCTGCCTGGATGAGTGATGTGGCGCTGTCCAGCTAGAGTGAGAGAAAAGATACACCTGGGTCAAGCAAATCCCCAAAGTCACACAACCATGGTTACAGTTTACAATTAAAGCAAAGCAGTACTATGGTTGTATAAGCAGTATTGCCAAAATAAGCAAACTATCACAAGAAGAGTGAACACATTATAAATCAGCCACCCACCTTCTCCTATTCTTCATCTCCAAATAAACAATATCATGTTACTACCTTTTATATTTCTAAATCCCAACTACCACTGAAGACAAAGCTCTCTTCTTAGAATTGAAGAATTCCAAAGTAACAAAAGTTTTCCAAAGAGGAACACATATTTTTAGATTTTAATTTGCAATGGTAGCAATTACTCCAAGGTTAGTTGAGTTTGTGGTCGGTACTGAAGGATGAAAAAGGAGAAGTCACAAAGGGTTACATTTCAATTTCATGGCCCTACAATGGAAAGATTTTTATCTATAGACTATTTCTACCTCCTGACTGGTGGAGATGAAAGAAGCTAAGCACAGGCCCAGTTCATGCATTCTCTGACTTTTACTTATTGATCTTAGTACCCACTTCACTTTTCCTATGTTGTGAATACCTCTCCAGAGAAACTATCAACTACTGTAGCAAGATCTTATAGGTTAAGTAGCATTCAGCCAGTCTGTTCCTCTTTACCTGTCATCTCTGTTTTAATAAACTATTTGGTATGTGCTATGTACCAAACACTATTTGAAGAAATTCTCAATCATTTCCTGTGTTACCTCTTAGAACAGCTTTATAAACTAGGTTATATCATCACAGTCATTTCACTAAACTATAGATGGCCACAGAATTTGCAGAGTTTTGCAGTGGAGGTAAAAGCGTGACAACTTTAGGCCTGATCTACTGGTTGATACTGCTGCCTTTTGGATAGGGTAACTTTAAAAAATGGTGTGACAAGCCAGTCATAGTAATCTCAGCATTGAGGAAGCTGATTCAGGATGATCAAGAGTAGAGGCCAGCTTGGGCTCCCTAGAGAACACTGAAACATACTGCCCCTCCCCAACCCCCCAAAATTGGTGTGACAAGTCACTACCTAAGTGTGTTTAAATGTCTATCACCAGGCTGGTATTTTTTGTTTGTTTGTTTACCTTCTTCCTGCTCTTAATTAGCCATGTGCTACATAATGAGTGCTGCTATCTGCATCAACCTCTACTGGCTTCATGGACTGAACTATAGATGTGAGAAAAACTACATTTCCCAGACTCCCTTTCAGCCCAGATTCTATATGTGATGTAATAAAAGAAAAAAAAAAAGAAACAAATGAAGAGGTTAGAAATCTTATTCCAGTCTCAGGGATGTTTGCACATGGTAGATTGTCTTGCAATGTGAAATACTGAGAGACATCAATTGCTATTCCTTGAAATGCCATTCCCATGTGTTGCTTGCTGTATAACATAAGTACTTGACTATATAGCTGCATAAAAATGCAAATGGACTTGTGAGGTTAGGTAATTAACCACAGGTTTATAAGCTAAGAGACTTTAACCCCTGTGGCTTCTGCTCTCTGATGTGACTAGGACTCTTGGTTTCATATCTTTTGATCGAGAAAAGTAACTTCTTATGATCATGGAGTAAGTAGGGTCAATGAAAGTTGGATTTAACTCCTCTCTGATGCCATTAACTGTGCAGCTATTTTCTCCCTATGCTTTATTTAAACTAAAAAGAATTTTCCTTTACACAAGGTTAAAAATGATTGCAATCAAATAAGCAATTCTATCACTCAAAAAGCTCATAAAGTCTGATCCTTAAGAAAGCAGCAGAATCTTCCTTTGTACAGATGAATCCCTCTCAACACTAAAGAATTGGTTCTTTGCCACTAAAACATAAAAAAATATTAGTAACACATCCAACATACAATAATATAGAAAAGTAAACATTTCTGGATTGATTCATGAGTTAGTGGAAATATACTGGATTTCCTAAACTATAGTACTTAGTTTATACCAACTAAGTGTCTGAAGTTAGCTTTAAAAAGCAAATTCTAGATTATTAGTGCAGTGGTTCTCAAGCTATAGTCTTTAAGTCACTTGTATCAACACCACCTGCAGAATGTTACAAATGCATTTTTTCTGCCCCAACCCAAAGCTTGCTAAAGAAAAAAATGTGGCTTTTTTAAAACAAGCTGATATATACCAAAGTTTAATGATGATTTAATTAATGAAACTCAAACACTATACTTATTTTATTCATTGATTTCAGAATTTTCACTATGTCTGACCAGGTTCCATGTTTTCAGTCTTTCCCATCACACCTTGGGTTGGAGGTTATAGTAATGGACAGGTGAGACAGCAATGTGACTATTAGAACAGATCTATCATGATTTCTGTGGAAGCAGTAGAAAAATTTCATTCTCCTCCCCATTAACCGTGATAGTTCCCCTATCAGTCTGTCAATTTCAAAAATGAATGGAAAATTAGTTAATTCTATTTTGTGCCACAAGTAAAAAAGAGGGTAAAGTGATATGCCTGAGGTAGTGTTGATTTTCTTGGGGATTATAGAATTAGAATACAACAAGGTACATCTATCATATTATTAAATGGTTCTTGAAGTTTGATTCTTGGGAAAATTGAATGGATCTCTTCAGCAGTTTGGGAATTTTTACCACGGATTCCATTTTCAGATAGATGATATGCCAATCTGCAGCAAAATTATGAGAGCCTGCTCTTCTTCATAACCTATTTTTTCTCCCAGCCTGATGCAGGAATCCTGTGAAGAAACCTAATACATTGGTTGACCGTGAGAAGGCACTTACAAACCCAGTGGTTTGGCTCAAAACACCTGCTAATGCAGCTATTGGGTGAGAAACCCAGACAACTAACCTTGAACAAAATTACACACAGACAATAAGTCAAATTGAACATTTTAATGAAAATGTGACTTTAATTTTTTTTGCCAAAGTATATGTTTTATCCATTACTTTAATCCACTTTTGTGATATAATTATTTCTAAGTACCATTTGAACTACTTTTTTTATTATTTCAAAGAAATGGGCTTCCTTTATGCTTATTCAAAGTAGCTTCCAACTGAAAAGTTTTAGCTGAAGTTTTGCTTCCTAAGGAAAAGATATTAGAAAGACCAAAGACATGTGGCATGGTGTTTTGTTTTTTGTTTTTTCCCTAAAAGATGTAAAGACACCTATTTAGCATGATTGCTTTCTATTTTTTGATTTTTTTATTGTAACAGTGGTATTTTCAAATTAGATGAGTAAATTAACATAAGTAAGTGAAGTTCTAATAATAATAACTAACATTAATTGAGCACTTAAGCAGAGGTGCCTGGCATTGCCTTAGTTATGTTAATTAAATTCTGTGACTCAGTTTTCAAAAATTCTCAAGTAAGAATGATTACTACACTCACAGCTGAGGACACTGAAGCTTAGAGATAAAGTAACTTGTTGAAGTAACAGGGTAAAGTACTGATTAGGACCAATACTAATGCTCTTGAAAGTTGGAATGCTCTACACAGCATTGCTCCCCTGAAGCCTTATTTAAACTCTGAGGTCATGTATATCAGCTACTGCCAAGGATCGAAATGACTGCTTCTATTTGCTCCACTGGGGCTGGAAGTTGGACACCTCTAAAGTAGACAGCACCCTGTGTTTGCTGCCCCCATACCCTTCTTCAGTCTCAATGTTCTCGGATAAGCCTTTATTATTTATTAATTTATATTTTTTTTATTTAAATGACACACATTTATTGCTGCACATAATTCATTGCATAAAGTATAAAATTTCCTGTGGGCAATAATAAATGTGATTTATAAGTCACAAATTTGAAGTCTATTTTTTATTCTCTCCCCTTTTTTTTTTTTTTTTTTTTTTTTTTTTTTTTTTTGAGACAGGGTCTCGCTGTAGCCACAGCTAGTCTGGAACTTATTATCTAGACCAGGCTGGCCTTGATCTCACAGAGATCTGCCTGCCTCTGACTCTCAAGTACTAGGATTAAAGGTAATATCCTAACTAGTTTATTGGGCCTTACTAACAGAGCATAGGGTGGGGTTTATTTATAGAAGAGAGCCCCCCCTCATTTTTGGCTGCCCTGGAAAGTTCACACCCAAATATAGATCCTGTGACTTCTTGACAGCTACACAAAATGGCAAGAGTGGTACTTCATGGTGTTCTCAACTTATATAGCCTTAGCCCCATCCCCACACACAGCTAAGGTTGAGGGATCGGGTAAGAGGGATAACTGACTCCCCCTTTGACTCCTTGATGAGTGAGGGAAGGAGGTGTGACTATAGATTGCCAGCATAGCAGTCTGAGGAGACTTCCAGGTAACACTCCATCCCTTCCTGCAGCTCTTACATTCTTTCTGCCAACTACTTCCACAAAATTCCCTGAGGCTTGGAGGGGTTGGTTAAGTGTGGGATGATCTCCCTCCCTTGTGGCAAGGTACTGAACTTTCAGGTCTCTGTATCATGTGTTTTCCATGGGCTGTTGTCCCATTTCAGTGGGATTCCATCTACTATAAAAACACAAACAGCAAGAAGCAAAAACACCTAAACAGTTGCTGCTAAAATAACTTAACCTATGGGTGGAAACACAAATGCTTGGATGGCACTTTCGCAGGTGCATCACATCCATATAACAAAACAATTGCAGTGGCTTCCCACTGGGGCCTGTATTATCTCCTGCCACAGGGAGTTGGTCTGGTCTACAGTACCAGATGTGTGTTCCACCACTAGGAGTGGGAATTTTAGCTAATCGAAAATTTGCTTGTTGTACGTGCACTAGACATGCACTATTGCACTATCAGGACAATCTTGTTTGGCATGTTGATAGTGCAATATATGGGTCCATTGTTGAGCAGAACTGTAGGGACTGATTCTCCCTGAGCCATCTTCATATAGAGTTCTGGCACCATAGAAGCCACTCATCAACTGGCAGGGAGTTTCCAGCGTAGTGCAAGCACAATTTCTCCCTCTCCCACACTCACATCAGTGTCTTCAGCAATAAGGTTTTTCCATTCACTTCCAGTGT